TTTTGAAAATCAAGATTAATTATTCCTACTTCTTTACTATTCTAGAATTCTATCTATCTATATATTGGATTCAAAGCACACTTACACTGAAAGAAAAATTCCCTTAGAATTGGAAAAAACTTTTTTTCACATATTTTAGACAAAATCGAAATTGACTTATAATGTCGGTGGTTTCGACGACAATGCACACAGAATTATTTTTTTCAACCAACAAAATATACTCTCTTCCTCTCGGTTGAATGTGTGTGTGGCGGGGGTGAGGTGGGTATTTTTATCGTCACTGAAAAGAGAGAAAGAAAAAATCGAACCAAGAATGATGATGATTGTGTCAGTGTTGAAAATTATATTCCATACCAATTGAATTTTTTTTCTGGTTTCTTGTTGTTGATGATGTCTTGGCCCAAACTCATGATGATGATGATGATGATGGCCAAATAATGAAAGCATAACCATATGAGCCAAAGTGCATCATCATCATCATCATCATCATGTGCATTCATGGACAATTGTCAAGGGAGAATTCATCGTTTGAATGAAATTGGTGCCCATTTCACCATGATGATGATGATGATGATTATAATCAAGCTTTTTGAATGGAAAAAAATATGATTTACATATTCTATACGTTTGCCTTGGAATGTCTCTGTGAATGATCTATGATGGTTGACTTGATGAAAAAGAAAAAAGAAAAAAATGATAAAAAACGAAACCGGAGCCAATCAGTGACTCCGTGTGTGTGTAAATGAGATTTTATTCATTATCATCCATAGTAATCATAATATTCTGGCTATTCCTTTAGCTTTAAATAATATATTGCCGCCATATATACACAAATCGAATATTACAAGTTTATAATGTTTGTTTTGACGTTAAGTTGTGTTGTTCAATGTATGTTTTGTCGATCGCTTTTTGGTTGGCTGACTTGTTGGCTGGCTAGAATTATTTAACAAGCCTTATTGACAATGGTTATGAACATCATGGACATCATCATCATCATCATCTTGGAGTCGGTCTGTTACTTTTTTTTTGGTCGTGGTCTTTTCTTATTTATATGTGGTGTATATGTCTTTTTGCAAATTGCTATGAACATTATATTCTATAACAGAAACATTGACAATATCAATTTAGTTTTTAGGAATTTAGTGTTCAGATCACGAAACGTTTACGAAATGTGTGTATGTGTGTGTTTTTTCATACAATTTGTAAAGTGACTCAATAAGATTTTTTTCTACCTCCCCCCCCAATACACACATAAACATATTATTTCGAGGGTTTTAATATTATTATGTAATAATAATAACAAAACAGCCGATACAAACATTCTACAATGAAAGAATCTAAGAATCTGAATGTTTACTATGCACGCATGCATGCATGCATGCATACGATGTTCATCATCATAATCATTTTCTATTTGGTCTAAATGTGAAAACAGACCATTTTTTTTTTTTGCTTTTTGATTCATTCATTCAAACATTTATAATGATAATAATAATGTATGTGTTCTTGACAGAACTCCCAAAAAAAAAGTGTGAAAGCAATAGAAAAAAAATTTTTTTTCTGCCCGTAAAATCATCATATCATTTTATGATTATATGAAATGGAGAAAAAAAAACATTACCAAAAGAATCTTATGATCTAAACTAACTATTCTGTGTGGCTCAACGATCACACATACACACAACACACATATTCAAATGGGCTATCAATATTTTTGAATGAAAACGAAATATGTTTTTTTTTTTTTTAAATTATCAACAAATATATAGAAATTTCCCAATCATATTCCAACCGCAAAAAAAAATTTCGGATGTGTTTGATATATGAAATGTATGTTATCAACATCTATTTCCTTTCCCTCATCATTTTCCTATGTTTTATAGATATTTGGCTTGTCATTGACAGCGCTAGGGTTTGTGGTTCCACACTTTTATTTTTTGATACATCATACATACAGTGTTTGAAGGAAATTCATATGTTTGATGATAGAATATTCATGTGGTTGAAAAGTGATGTACACGCAAAATTAATCACATGTAAAGGTGTGTGTGGTTTGTGTGTTCGTGTCTGCTTTCGTTCCCATCCATTTTTTTTGTTTGATTGTGAACAAGTGATGATGTGTTATATTCATTATTATTATTATTCGATTATCATTCGTTGTTGTTTAGTGATCTAATGATAATATAGCAAGACAGGTTATAAAATGATCGATGATGGAAAATTTTTGTGTGTTGCTTTTTTTCACTTTCACTTTTTATTCATTGATTTAATACACAGGATGTAATGAGTGAAGAATTTGTAAATCGAATTTTTTTTTACGTAAGTTTATTGTCGCTGTTACTGCTACTGTCCAATTACTGAATGTATTGAAAAATATCATCTCAAAGCATTATTTTATTGTGAATTACGCGTGTCATTCTATAATAATGTATATTCATACTGCACGCATACTTCCCATCTGTCAAGTTTGATCCATTTGTTTTGGTTTCTGAAATCCTTGTCAGTTCTTTCAAACTTTGTTTCTATATTCATCATAGTCATTATAAACAATGAACTGATTTATTTTTCTTCTTCAAATTGTTTTTTTGTCTTGATTAATTAAATTCAAAAAGATGAACAGAATTGAATTGTTTGAGTAGTCGAAAGTGTTTTCATGATTAGCATATTTCTTCCTTGTTGTCTGTCACACATTTTTTTTTTAATTAGTTTTTTTTCTTTACTCGTTTATTTGCTATTGCTTTTCCATTGGAATTAAAATGAAAAAATTTTTGCTAATCAAATTCCATTTCCTGGTAATCAAGTTTTGTGTGAGTATGATGTGTGTTAGAATTTATACTTTTTTTTGATGGTGAAAAAGAATTTTTGTGTTTTTATGCACCCGTTTTATTTCCTAAAAGTTTTTAAAAAATCTTTGAATGACCAGGCAAAAAATTGTAGACAGAATTCTTCATTTCATGATAAAACATCTCAATTCGATCGCATTCAATTATTCTGTGAAATTAATTACACAAATTCATTTTGAATGAAATGTATAATACTACTGTATATATCACACAATGGTCAATATTAGAATGTAAAGAAAAAAAATTCAATTGAATTATACGATTTGAATTGAGCTATACACATTCCATCGTTTTTTTTAATTTCAACGTTTACAATCAATACAGCATACACACACACACACACACACCTTTACATGGATGGATGAGAATTCATCAACTTGGTTTCGCAAAATTTAATGATTTCAGCAAAATATCCCGCTGAATTCAGAATTGCTATTTTTATTCACTCTCTCTCTCTCTCTCTCTTTTTTTTTTTTTTTTGTATTTTCTGTGTATAATAGAAACAGATGAAAAAAAAAGTTTTCAAATTGAATAGCCAAGTGAAACAAGTATGGTAACATCCATTGATTTTCCGTTTATTATTTTGTTACAATATGTGGAATGTAGACAGAAAAAAAAATTTTGGAATTTGCTTGTCCTATGGTTTCTATATCTCTTGGTTTGTTTATGCTGTTGGACTGAATGTGTTCATAAGTCCATTTGGAACGTTCATTATGTTCTTCATCTTTTTTTTTCACTATGTATTTATTTATAAAAATGTGTCATTAAATCCATTAAAAACATGTCATATAATCATCTTGATATGTATCGCATGACAAAAGCTGACCAAGATAGAAAAAAATTCGATTCTCCATTACCCACACACACACACACACACACATATTGTGTAGATATATAAAAACAAGTAGAATCAAAAATATTTTGGAGACAATGTCCAATGTTTAGGTCCCAGATATCGATTTTAAAGTGTATATGTCTGTTTGTGATGACCCGTTTTAATTTCATCGTTTATAATCACATGAACAAAAAAAAAGCAATTGCAGAAATGTATCATCACATCAGTTTTTCAGTCCAATCCTATTCTCATCATCATATCCGGCAAGGATTGTACTGAAAAAATCGATTTATGGCGATTAACGCTTCATCGTCGTATTCGTCAGTTTGTTGGTCTCGTCTCGATCAGTGTTTGTTTATTTGTTGTTGTAAATGATTTTGTTTTGTTCTGCTTTCTTTCATGAGCTAACCCCCTAATGTTTTCTAAGTGTGTTATAATCAATTTATAGCCAGTTCATTGGTCGTTCCAATTCTTTCTTTCTCATTTTCTGAATATTTTTTTTCATGATCGGCAAAATTTTTTTCTTTCAATGGATAATTTCATAATCCTAATGATGCCAAAATCCAAAACAATCATATTCGTTAACATTCTGTGTGTGTGTGTGTGTATGTAGTATGTTCAAATCATTGACCAATTCGAATATGGACGAATACATTGTTCATTTTTTTTGCCAATGTGTTTTTCTTCATATTTATCTTCAAGTATTGGTGTGAATCGTGTTCAACTCTAAACATTAAAAATATCAGCTTATAGTCTTTTTTAGATCTATCAAAATCGATTGAAGCCTACTACTTCTGTATGATGATGCAATTCATTGGAATGATCGAACAATAATTTTACTGTTTTCATATTCTTCTCAATACAATTCACTCTATTGAATCAATGAGAATTTAATGCTCGACAAGTGTGTAAGTTTGTGTGCAGACGTGTAACGGAAACAATGCAAATCGAATTGTGATAGCTGTCTAGGGTGTGTGTGTGTGTGTGTTGTGTTTTGATCGGCCATCAATCATTGCCAGAACGATTTCTATCAACTCGGTGTTATTCCCGAACTAACTGTTCCTTTCTCTCTCTCTCTCTCATTTCGTATCTCTTCAAACATAATATTTCCGACACTTTATGTGTGTGTATGTTTGTGTAAATTTACCAAACACAAAGTTATGGGCCAAAAAAATTTTCGTTACTTGTTAATGGTATGGTGAATGTGTGTACTATAGTAGTAGTCGATCCAATTTTTCAATTTTTTTCTCAATTCCACTTTATTCAATATTTCTAAGATATTTTTTACATTTTCTTCTTTTTTTTCTTATTCTTATTCCTAGGTGGTTTTGGTATATGCAAAATTTTTCTTTCGATAATGCAATCGTGGCCAAGTTATATCAGTTAGTTTTCTTTCCGTTCTTCATTCGCATCGATTCATCTTTTTTTTATATATATTCGTCAGAGATGATTTCCTTAAAATTCAATGTATTTTATTCGTTCCGACCTGAATGATTCTTGTATAGTCTTCAATTCTGAGAGTAAGTTTAGCTTCCTTTCTTTTATTCTTTTATATTTGTGGCTTTTTCATTATCGAATCTTGTCGTTTCAAGAAAAAGTTAGAAATGATTCATTCAAATGTTCACCTTTAGCTTGTTCGTTGTGTGTGTGTGTGTGTATATATGCATAACGAAAATGAAACTATTAAATCATACAGTGTGTTATTATTATGAATGTCTTTAATGTGAAAATGGAAATTCGTCGTTTCTTTTCATTTCATTTCATTTTTTTCTTTCTGATTGCTTTCAATTCTTTCAATTTATTCATTCTATTGTGTATAATTATTCGTGCAAAAATGTGGAAGACGTCATTCATTGGTTATTTGTACCTGGACAGCACCACCAAATCTGCAGAAAGCGTCGTTGCTCAGACCATTCCAAAACGTGCTTAACGACCCAACGGCTTGGATTTATTTTAATTGTCTTAGTAAACAACAAAACCAACAGAGCGTTTATTGATACGGGAGCCGAAATAACCTGCATTTCTAAAAACTTGTTTGATCAATTAAAATTACAAAATAACGAAAAATTCAATCATTAATATCCGTCAATCCTTGATAATTTGACACAGTCATTGGGTCGCGTAAAATCAATCTACAGATCGGGAGAATCACTCGATGTGTTTGAAGCTCACGTGGTTAGAAATTTGACTACCAATCTCTTGTTAGGTCTCGACAATAGCCAACCTCTTCGATCTCAGCCTTGATTTAAAATGATAATTGCTTAAAACAATGTGATAAAATTGTCGCAACAATGCGCAACATTCGTCAAATCAACAAGAATATCATATTAAATCATACACACACACACACACATTCATTGTATTGTGTGATAATTTTCTTTTTTTTCATCATCATTTCAATATAACATTAGGATTTCATGATAATTGTATTCAATATATATACTTTTATATTATTGTTATTGTGTACTATTGTCGATCAATTCCAATGATTACCAAATAATATGATTGCTTGATGATTCATATACCATACAGAATTGCAAAGAACACTTAGAATATTGCGTGCACATAATTTTCAAGAATTATTAATTTCAAAATAATAATCATTCAAGAAAAAAGATCTCAGAATCTATCATTCATCATTCTGGACATAGAAAAGGGTCAAAAAAAAAGAAAAAGAATAGAATTTTTCTTTTCATTTCTTGGTCATCATTGTTCATTGTTTCTACGATTTTGTTTAAATATATTTGTTTGGCTGACTGATTGGATATTTACGGTATTCACCTCAAGGCACAATAAACAGTGAAAAACATTTGATATACACATGTTATTCCTGGCATATACAGAAGAATAATTCAAATGTAAAGTGTGTGTGTGTGTATGTATGTAACAATGGTTCAAGTGAACCACATTCTCAAATAAGAAAAAAAGTTTAGAGGCCAAATCATTATTCGTCCCGTGGTCGGTCGGTCGTTTGTTTGTGAATGTTGTTGGCGATAAATATACAAATATAAAAAATTTTAACAAGATTACTTTTTACGCCCATGTTTCGTATTTTATGCTATCCATAGCCACAGTTTTTGTGTTTGTGTGTGTGTGTGTGTGTGTGTGTGAAGTAATCTTGAATTTTTTTTACTGTTTTCCTTCTTTGAGAATCCATCAGGCATAAAATCGTTGGCAATTGGCTTGCTTGTGTTGGTTTACTTGTTTTTGCCATTGTCTTGTTTTGCTCACCGTTATATACAATAAGAATTTTTTTTTCTTTTCTTTTCTTTGAACTATTTTGAATTTTTAATCAGATTAAATTTTCTCCATTCATTCTTCATTGAACACGCTATTGGCTATGTTCATTTTTCTATATAGATATTCAACCATTAGAGAATTCGGTTCCATTTCGTATTTTTTTTTTTTTTTTGTTGGAAAGGGGGGGTGTTTTCTGTTTTACTTGGCGCCTTTTTATTATTCTATTGTTTTAAATAAATTTGACTTCATTTAACATTGATAAAGATAGAGAATGAGAATATATATGGGCGCTGTTTGAGTGTTTCTGGATAATTTTCTTTCATTACGAAAAAAAAACTTTGCTCTTGTGCTACGTTAATTGACGACGTTTTTTTTCATCTTCTTGTTGTTGTTATTGTTGTAGCTAGTACAAAAACAATGATAATGATGATGATGGAACCTACAGTTCAATACACTACATTATTTAGATTTCTATTATTCTGTTGATTTGTCTTAATTTGATTATCAATTTCGAACGAAAAACAGAAATAAAGCATTTTCTATCGATAATAATGATAAAAACAAACGCAAGTCTATATTGAAATTGGAATTACCAATACCACATGCAAAAAACAAATGTTCATCGTCCTTGACTAAAAAAAATACAAAACAAAACAAAACTGATTAATCTTGATAAATCAATTTATTTATTGAGAATTTTCTCATAATTATTATGCTTGTTTTTTTTACCATAAATAAATTGAAATGATGATGATGATGATGATGATGATTGTTGTATGTCAGTATACCATCTCTGATCACAGTTATACCTGAACTCTATGAAAAATAACTATTGCCAAAATCTCGAATAGTTCATGGATGTTCAACAACAGCATAAACAACCATATAAGCATTAAAATTCTACACTGTCCCTTGTGAAATCAAATTGTCATGTTTTGATTTGTTTGATTTGACATTATTTTCGTTTTTTTTTTTATTTTTATTTTTATATTTTTTTCATCCAATGACAAAAATTTATTGAATTAACTCTTGAACAAAAAAAAAAAATCAATGCAAACTGATTTTGACATTTTGGTTGTACAAAAACGATAACTAAAAGTCATCACTTGATTTTATATATGTTTCACAATCATACGATTAACGATTTGGACGATTTTTGTTTTGTTGGCGGTATTTATCGGGTCTTTTCGGGTGTGATTGCTTTTTGTTGGTGGGTAGCTTTGTTTTGATTATTACTTTAGCACTATTGCTCAATATACACAAATAATTCTTTAGTACACACAATGCCTAGAGACATCTACTCTGATGTATTTGTGAACTGTTCCATTGAGAATCATTCGAATTCTCATCTCTTTTTTTTGGGTCGACATTGATGAAAAACTATTGAAAAGAATTTAAATCTTTTCTTCTGATGTTGTCATTTTATGTGTGTATGTGGGTGATTGAACGTACACTGACATAGACAGACCAAAGAGAGAGAGAGAGAGACATTTACAATTTTTGATTTCCTGTCCACCACTTTTGTTGTTGTTGTTATTATTTAATTCGGTTGCCAGGCTAAGGATAAAAATCCAAAACCTAGAAAAAATTCGTTATTGTAGATGTTTTTGGCTTTTTGAACTGGACTTTTTCGTTTATCAATCTAAAATTGCTTAGTTCTATTGATTTTCAATTTTTTTTCTTGGTTTTTATCCAATCTCATTGTTCACCATAAAATTATCATCACAAATTTGCGCTTTTAGCATCAAAATAGAACATTTGAACTTCAAAAATTTTTTACCAATTCATATATATTTAATTCTTGTTATTAGTTCTATAAATACAGAATCTCATAATTCATGTTTTTATTCTATTTTTTTTTTTTTAAACACATTCACAAAAACAACCAAGAATATATTCTATCTAATAATATAAATTGTCTTTTTTCTTTCTCCTTCATCATGCATGGAAGAAAAGAAAAAGAAATTTTTTCTGTAACTTTTTTTTTTTTTCTTATCGACTTCTTTGCTACACTTCTATCCGCAAAAAGTATGTACTCTTTTTTTTCTTCTCCTTCATCATGTTTGTCTGTATGAATGTATGTTGAGCTCGTTAATTATTGACTTTACTTGTTTTTCTCGATGTTGATGATGATGATGATGATGATGTACTATAAAAATCTAATATGCATGGAAGAAAAAAAAAATAAAATTTTTTCTGGATAACTTTTTTTTTTTTTTTTCTTATCGACTTCTTTGCTACGCTATCCATAAAAAGAAATGGCAAAATAATGGGGGGTGATGCTCGAAAGAGTAAAGTTTTTTTTTCATTTTCTTTCCTTTACGTTCCATGATGCCTTAACTCGATATATATGCATATGGAAACTAAAACATAATATTTATAAACAAAATGAAGAATATTTTTTCTTCGAAAAAAAGGTTTTTTACCAACCCGCATATGTATTCTGTATTTCAAAATATTCAGTTTGAATATCATCTATTCCATGTATATGAATAAACAATGATAATGAACAATGTTCTCATTTCATAGTCCATATGCAAACTTTTTTTTCCTTTTGATTGCTTCATTTGTGTAGAATCAAATGAAAAAAACCGTTTCTTTTTATTCATAACCAAAAAATTTCTGTACAATATAAGGCGACATGTGGCAATTCTTATTGTTTTACTCGATAATTATGTGTGTCAATTATTACGAACATTTGGCCCCCCCTTTGAAATTGAATTCATTTGGTCATCATAAAGATTTCTAGAGCTATCATCATCATGAAAAAAGAATTTTAAATCCTTGTAAACAAATGAAAAAGAAGCAAATTGTATGCAATTTATTTGTTTTTGTATATGTGTTTAGGTCATTGAATTGTTTTCCAAGAATTATACTGTAAGCCTTTTTGGTGTTAGCATCTGGTGTTGTATTAATAATAATAATTTTTTTTTCTGAAGGATTTCTTTTTTTTGTTCCCAAAACTAACTATGTGGAGATTATATTCAGCATATGCATAGTTTTTCAAATTTTTTTCCATCTTTTCACGGAACCATAAAACACTTGGAACAATTTTTTTCTTTATCCTTTTGTCTATATAGATTTGAATTCCATTTTATAATATGGTCGAGTCTCGTTTATTTTTTTTTTTCACCGTTGACGTTGTTGTTGTGTTTCGCCAATGTTCCTATTTTCGTGGGCATTTCATTTTGTCATTCTTGTGTGTGTGTGTGTGTGTTTTGCTTTTGAATTTGTCGATCCGGGCCATTTGGTCGTTTCGTGTGTATTCTGTGATAATAAT